CTGCACAAATCTGGCCTTTATGGAAGAGTGGCAAGAAGAAAGCCATTTCTTAAAGATATCCATAAAAGGTGTCGTTTAAAGTTTGCCACAAGCCACCTGGGAGACACACCAAACATGTGGAAGAAGGTGCTCTGGTCAGATGAAACCAAAGTCGAACTTTTTGGCAACAATGCAAAATGTTATGTTTGGCGTAAAAGCAACACAGCTCATCACCCTGAACACACCATCCCCATTGTCAAACATGGTGGTGGCAGCATCGTGGTTTGGGCCTGCTTTTCTTCAGCAGGGACAGGGAAGATGGTTAAAATTGATGGGAAGATGGATGGAGCCAAATACAGGACCATTCTGGAAGGAAACCTGATGGAGTCTGCAACAGACCTGAGACTGGGACGGAGATTTGTCTTCCAACAAGACAATGATTCAAAACATAAAGCAAAATCTACAATGGAATGGTTCACAAATAAACATATCCAGGTGTTAGAATGGCCAAGTCAAAGTCCAGACCTGAATCCAATTGAGAATCTGTGGAAAGAACTGAAAACTGCTGTTCACAAACGCTCTCTATCCAACCTCACTGAGCTCGAGCTGTTTTGCAAGGAGGAATGGGCAAAAATTTCAGTCTCTTGATGTGCAAAACTGATAGAGACATACCCCAAGCGACTTACAGCTGTAATCGCAGCAAAAGGTGGCGCTACAAAGTATTAACTTAAGGGGGCTGAATAATTTTGCATGCCCAATTTTTCAGTTTTTTATTTGTTAAAAAAGTTTGAAATATCCAATAAATTTCGTTCCACTTCATGATTGTGTCCCACTTGTTGTTGATTCTTCACAAAAAATTACAGTTTTATATCTTTATGTTTGAAGCCCTGAAATGTGGCAAAAGGTTGCAAAGTTCAAGGGGGCCGAATACTTTCGCAAGGCACTGTATACAGGCTTATCCTCCCTTTGTTTGTGCAAATGAAATAAATAGCCAAAATGCCTTGGAAAAGCAAAATATGTACCCGATTAGTACCCAAATGACCTACATATCTTCATAGTAAATGGAAGAGTGCGCTAGCCCAATGTCCCATGGTGGTGGCAGGGCAGGCCTAAAGCTGTTATAATTTTCATCATAGGACTGTTATTGTGCCAATTTATTATGTTTTGATATTTTTTCAATTGAGAAAATAGCCATCAAGTTTTTGAATATGCAATCAGTCGATCCAAGTAATGCCAATTTGGCTCACACATTTTCAGAGATGTGATGACCCACTAATATGCTAGCAAGATCTACTAAGCAGGCATAGCTGTAGCCATTGAGCCAGGGAACCACTAGAGAGGGGGTAAAGAGCTACAGGTTGCTGACCCCTGGTCTAGGCTATGAAATACTCTAACACTACAGCGTATCTCTATACAGACTGACACATCTTATAAAACAAAGGTTAACATGACCAGAACCATGAGGAAAAAACTAGATCTCTTGACATGGTCAGGGTCAATAGTTATGCTATATATCATTATGTCAAGTGAACAGCTGCTTGTCAGCAGGTCAATTTGCATGACAATCACTAAGTGCTTGCTCCAAAGGGATATGTCGGGGCTTTCTCTATAATACTGTAAGGTCTAGACCTTACTGGGTAAAATGCCCTGAGATGGTTTTTGTTGTGATATGATGCTATACAAATAAAACTGAATTGAACTTTAAACAATTTAACTGAATTGAACCAAGCATTCTCCATCCTCTGGTGATTGTATGATACAGGCAAAAACTCTCAGAAATGCTGGTAAGTGGAACTTAGGCAGGTTTGCCAAACTATTTCTAAGTCAAGACCAAACTGCTGTACTGTATGTAGGGTTTTTCTTTTCTTTTTTCTCATCTGTCCATCTACCTGTCTGCCTCTACTCATCTCTCCATCTCTCTTCTGTGAGCAAAGCTGCTGTTTGTCTGCTGCTCTGTGCTGTTGGGGATTGAATAAGCCCACTCAACATTCTTAGGTCATCAGTGGCTTTGAGTGTCAGTGTTCTCTCTAGTTCACAGTTTTAGTGAGCCAGTTTTATGAGATCAGATACATTAGATAACATATTGTGCTGTGTTTCACACATTAAAGTTTTTGGCATTATTATCTACTCTGTGGATTTTATAGTCAGGACAGTCAGCCTGATAGCTGCTACAGAATCGTTCTTCAAGCCCTTTGTCTTTGTTCTGACATTTAACCTTTGATTTCTGAACCAATCCCTGATAGTGCACCTTTACAGTGCATTCTCAAAGCATCACTGCCTCTTCCTTTCTGCTACTGTATGAGACACAGGTTAGTCCTGTGTTGCAGTTTTTCACTCTGCCATTGTAAATAATGTCACAATGACGCTGCTGTTTTGGGAGTGTGATTTGAGAAGTGTGCTGGAGAGGACAAATGAGCAAAATTCCATCAGCAGTCAGCTTGCTCACTTACTCGCTGGCTTGATTGTTTTGCTTCTGAGCATTTTTAAAAGTCATGTCACTCTGCCATCTTTACTGTTCACTGGCTCAGCAGCACACGCTGGGGATTGCAGGTAAGATGGCTTGAGACTTTGGGCTGATCTTGCCTTACCTCACTGGGCTATAATGGCTCGCAACCTTCTTTTTCCTTTGCACGGTGGATTGAGGGCATGCTTGTCATGCCTGGTTATACAGACATGCTGGCTAAGGTTTGGTGTTGTATGATGGAAATGTTTGGGAGGGGGGCATCATTAGAGACACCCTTCATGGACTGGAGATGACCTCAATGTCAAGGTACAGTAAGAGTGAATAACATTTGAAGTGTACATAGTTGGGAAAAGATGTGCTGCTTCTCAACCTGAGGATGGCTGTAGTTTCAACAAAGTCAAAAAAAGAACAGGGCTGAGTATTTATACAGCAGATAGTAAAAGTGTGTCAATATCCATTACTGTAAGCACATTTCCTCTCATTCAGGAACTTTGCCTAATGCAAATACAGTCTAAAATTGGTCAAATTACAAGTTAAATAATAAGAGACAAAGAACTTTAAAATAATTTTATTTCAGCTCTCAGAGCTTCACTGTTTTTAATAGTGTTACTGACACAATCTGGCCAGTCTTCAAAAAGGATTAGGGTTCAATACCCACCCACAGCAAATAGTTATCTGCATGAGAAAAATATTAAAAAACTGATAACAAGCTGAGCTCTAAACAATGGCTAAGCATCCATAGAAGAGAAGACTTTCTGTCAAAAAGAAAATGATTCACAGGCAGACAGTTACTGCAGTTTTCACTGCAATGATAGTGGGTCTATAAATGAAGTTAATGAGGAAGTAATTTTACCTCAATATCATGGAGGTACAATACTTAAAGGGACACTCCAGCAATTTAGTACTACACTTACACGGTTAGGGGACTTGTGAGAAATAGATTTTAATAAAGAGTGGTCAAAATGGAGTCAAAGGGTTGAGATAATATAACTTTTAATTTCTAGTGTGGGTAAAGTTGGGTCAATGTGTGCAACATTTTCCATAATGCACTAAACACAACATTTTTCTTTGACCCACACACTGTATTTCAAACTCCAATACTTTTGTTATAAAGGTGTAGTCTTAAAGCCAAGCTCAGGTATTCTCTCTGTCTTTATAAAGCAAATTCAATTCAAGTCATCTTTTTGTAGCAGTACCCCCCATGACCAGTAAACTGACTTTGATGTATAAAACCAGTCCCCTATAAATGCAACAAAAATACTTGATGAAATAAAAATAAAGTCACCTGTTGTATTTGGGGTTTCCGACAGTAGAATCACACTGTGACAGACATGTTGTAATATCAGCATTTGTCCTTGTGGTGGCAGTGACATCTAGGTCTATGATTAGATTAGATTTGATTAGATTAAACTTTATTGTCATTACACATGTACAAGTACAAGGCAATGAAATACAGTTTAGCATTTAACCAGAAGTGCAATAACAGCAGCGCAGAGTGCACAGTATCTACAGTACGTACAATCAGAACTAATTTACTGATAGATATGTACAATTGATAGTTACAGTAAGATATGTAGGCAAATGTAAAATGTACAACAGATTTTATGGATTTAAATTACAAGTAATGGATAAGGTACATTAAGCTTATGGAACACCAGTGCAATGGGATGAAATGGAATGAAATAGTGCAGATTAAGAAGATAAGTTACATGAGTGAACAGTTCAATGGATGTAAATAGTGCAAAGATAAAAATAAAGATACAGTATCTTCATATGAACAGTGTGCAAATGAATACAGAGCAATATCCTGAGAGTAGAGTATGTGCAAATTAACAGATCACTTCAGTGTTACAGATAACAGAAGCATATTATTAGTCCTCGGAGGAGAGATGAGACAGGGTGAGGTGTATGTAGTGGTATAGAGGAAGGCAGTGGGGGGTCAGCGGGGGACAGAGTTCAGTAAGGAGACAGCTGTAGGGAAGAAGCTGTTCCTGAGTCTACTGGTTTTGGTCCGGAGGCTCCTGAAGCACCTCCCAGAGGGCAGGAGGTCAAACAGTTTGTGAGCAGGGTGAGAGGAGTCCTTGAGAATGCTGCGAGCACGTCGGAGACAGCGTTCCTTGTGGACACCCTCAATGGCTGGAAGTGGAGTCCCTGTGATGCATTGGGCAGTTTTCACCACCCGCTACAGTGCCTTGCAGTCAGAGGCAGCAGTTTCCATAGGATGCTCTAGATGGCACAGCAGTAGAAGTACACCAGGATGGCTGAAGACAGGTGGTTCTTCTTAGGTGTCCTCAGGCACTATGCAGCACAATGATATTGCAGTGTGTGTGGATCCAAACAGACATGAAGTAGAAAACAATGTGATCATTTAATGACTGAGGATGGCTTCAGTCAAAGTGTGTGATGCATGTGGTGATGGGTGCCTCCTGTGAGGAATTCCTTTTCTGTTTTAGCTCAGGGATTCATTGCCTTTTTGCTGTGTGTGCCACTGTGTCTGTTTGATGTTCTCCTTACCTTGTCTTTAACCCTCTGCTCTCTTCCACCTCCTCCTTTGTAGTTGAGCTTACCAACACCTCTGTGGCTTCAGCTCTCACTCCTACTCCTCCACCTCTTGCACCTCTTCCTCCTACTACCATCGCTCCTACAACCATTAGTACCTCAACTACTACCACTCCTACAACTACAACTTCTGCTACTTCTACTACCACCACCACAACCAAGGCGACCACTATCACCACCTCTCCTGTGCTGGTCACCACCAAACATACAGATCAGAAAGTGTTGGGTACATGCTGTTGTCCTATTCTAGTTCTTATACTGTCTTTCTAGTGATTTAGATGACCATGAATGGCACTTTAATCTCTACATATCAGAAGACTATGGCCTTCTCCCACCTGACAAAACAGGAAAGTACATCAGGGCTGCATTCCGATAGGCTGTGCTGTACCTGCTGCATGAAAAGTGGGGAATTACTTCAGAGTATTGGGATGTAGCCAGCAACTATCATCCTGGTCAGGAAGTGAGAATCCAGACTTTTTTTTAATTAAATGGACTTTGATTAGTGTAAAGGTCTTGGAGAGAGTGCCCTTTACACTATAGAGTGATGACAGCTGCCAGTAATTGACGAGGATTGTGATATTCATTGGCTGCAGTGTTTAGATTCGACTAGCTTTGGAGTCACTCTAAACCAGAATTAAGCATTGAAACTTAGTGTTTAATTAATTGAAAAGTGCTTTGGAATTTTATTATGGGCAAATTTTCTGTCCGTGAGCATATTAAAATGCCTGGAACCAGAACAATCATTCTGGTAGAAAGACTCCCTTTGTACTAGCACCTAGCTTAAATCTAAATAGAACCCTGTGTCTGGTTGTTGTAACTGTGCCCTCTCTGCCCTGCCCTGACCTTTTAACCCTTTATCCCTGACCCTTCCTTGTGTAGTGGCCCCTGGGCGAGAGATCTGGAATCTGACGGTGGAGCCTAACAGTAACTACGCTAACGTCAGCTGGAGACACAACTTCCCGGCCGGCAGCAGCGAGTTTGTGCTAGAGTTCACACTGGACAGTAAGAAACCAGATCAAGCCCATCTTGAGCTATCAAAACCTAAAGGTTTGAACTTAATTGTCAGGGATTAAAAACAACCAGAGTGGTGAGATATTAATTGAAAACAAAATGACACAGAGGAAATATACACCAATCAGCTATAACATTATGATCACTGGCAGGTGAATTAAATAACATTGACTATTTGTTACAGTGGCACCTGTCATTGTGTGGGGTATATTAGGCAGCAAGTGAACATTCAGTCCTCAAAGTTGATGTGTTGGAGGCAGGAAAAATGGGCAAGTGATGAGTGACTTTGACAAGGGCCAAACTGTGATGGTGAGATGACTGGGTCAGAGCACCTCCCACATTGCAGGTATTGGTGGGTGTTCTTGGTCCGCAGTGGTCAGTACCTACCAACAGGGGTCTAAAGAAGTGCAAATGATGAACTGGCGATGCTCATTGCTCACTGATGATGAGGTTGCCCTACTGTAGATTAAACTTTTAACTTCCATTTGTACTTTTCAAAAGATTAAATTTATTTGAATCTTTGTTAAAATGGTTGAAAATGAGAAATACTGTACAATGGTCTCTACTGACTCCTACATAAACAGTATTAGGCAGGTTGTCATAATGTTATGCCTGATTGGGGTGTATATATTATATATATATATATATAAGCCATAATTTTTGGTTCTGTTCATGCTGCTGTTTCCAGAGTGTATAAATATAAAGCTACACGTTTTACCCCAAAGTGCAACTAACAAACAAGCAAACTAACAAAAAAAATTGCTGCAGCTAATAATATATCATGTCATATTTGCTATCTTTAGCAAAAGCCATAGATTTGTTTAATCTTTTTCAGTGGAACCTCAGCATATCTAAGATATTAATGCTGAGGATTAGAGAAATGATTGGATGCAAAAGACAGATGGAGGTCTATTTTCCTGCTAGCACAAACCCAACATAGCTTCAAATGCAGTTTCTTTGGAGCAAGTCTACTTTTTGCACAATGGTGTGTTGGCATTTTCCTGCCATGAATGAATTCATTTATGCTGAGGTGGAAGGAGAGGTGCACCTAAGGCCGATTAGGCAGCAGAGTGCAATTTTGGTGCTCATTTTGACCTGAAGTTATGGTTGAGTTAAAACCTGCTCAGATTACTGTTTATTACAAACATAGGTACATGGTAATTTTCCCAACAGTCTAGGCTGGAAAGCACAAGAACAGGTACCACAATGTATGGCACCACTAACATTAACCCTTACATCTAGACATCATCTCACTGTGAGATCAGTGAATAATTTACTGTGAAATTACCTGACTTATGAAATGTTTGTGATAATTTAGAAATAAATAAATCCATCCATCCATCCATTTTCCTCCGCTTATCCGGGACCGGGTCGCGGGGGCAGCAGTCTAAGCAAAGATGCCCAGACTTCCCTCTCTCCAGACACTTCCTCCAGCTTCTCCAGGGGAATGCTGAGGCATTCCCAGGCCAGCCGAGAGACATAGTCCCTCAGCATGTCCTGGGTCTTCCCCAGGGCCTCCTCCCGGTGGGACATGCCCAGAACACCTCCCTAGGAAGGTACCCAGGAGGCATCTGAAACAGATGCCCGAGCCACCTCAGCTGGCTCCTCTTGATGTGAAGGAGCAGCGGAAAGGAAAAAGCCTGACTTCTCTTTCCCAGCCCTGTCTTTCTAAATACTGAGTGTGTGAAGGGAGGGGAAAATGATAAAGAAAAGCAGAGCAGAAATGCAGGCAGAGGAGGTCAGGGATTGTTTCAGCAGTCTACTGATTGAAAGCTGCTCAAATCCACACTGTAATTAACTCTTATCTCATCAAGTAAATGAAGTGCCTTCACAGTCACACTGTCATTATGTCAGACAACAAGGGGAGGCAGGCTGAAAGAGTGCCAGTGTTAAGAAAGCCATTTTCAGTCTTCCTGAGCAACCAGTTACTGCAACTAGAAATAAGTTTCAGCTACAATTAAACTAAATTGGAGAAATACTTTGTTTTATTAATTCAAGTTGTCATAGATGGGACAAAATTCCAGGCATCAGAGAATAGGCCCCTGGCTGCGCCTAGAAATTCTGTCCATAAAAATAATGAACAGAACCTCTGACAAAGGGCAGCCCTGCCGGAGTCCAACATGCACTGGAAACAAGTCTGACTTACTGCCGGCGATGCGAACCAAGCTCCTGCTCCGGTCGTACAGGGACCTGACGGCCCTAGCAAAGGGCCCCGGACCTCGTACTCCCGGAGCACCCCCCACAGGGCGCTGCGAGGGACACGGTCGAATGCCTTCTCCAGATCCACGAAACACATGTGCACTGGTTGGGCAAACTCCCATGAACCCTCCGCCATAAATAAATCAAATAAGAAAAAATATTCAAGTCCTCAGTATATGAACATGGTCAGAGAGGGTTGGTTCATGTCATTTCATTCTATTTGTCCTATATAATTACCGCTATTTACAGGCTTTATTGCCAGAACGCATGTACAGTAAGTGTTAGGTTCTGACTCAGGAAGGACCCAAATTGCAGACATCAAGCGAGTTGGATGAACATAGGTTTGTACTAAAAGAAGTAACAAAAAATGCAGCAAAGTCCAGGGGTGCCACATCTCTCAAAGGTACAGGTAATACATTCAAACAAAAGGTGTCCTCAGACTCGGAGGGTAGACAAAAGGGCCACTGGGAGTGGGAACACATGACAGGAACCCATGTGCATAACAATGTGAACCAACATGCAGTAAACGGGAGAACCTGAGGAATAGCATGGAGATACAGAGAGCGTTTTATGAACCAGCAAGGGACTGAGGCAGCGGGAGTAGTATATATATGGTGACCACCCGTGAGGTAATGAGGTACAGGTGAATTTAATGAGCGTGATAGTGAACCAGGGTAAAGCTAGGACAGATGAAATAATACCAAAACTAGAAGTCATGTCAAAATAAAGTTACAAAACAGGAAATAAGGCCACAAACCATAACAAAACCCCAGCCAATCTGGATGGCTCCCAGACATCCAACCAAAAAAACAAGGAAACCCAAGTAGGGGGACCAGGAAGGTGGGCACGACGAACACAAAACCAAGTCACACCATAAGGCCCACAGAAGAGTCTTTGCGTGGAGACCGGTCCAGAGGATATGTTTGGGACCATCCAGGAAACAGGAAGGGCCAGTCAGAAGGATGACCATGGAATCAGACGAGAGACCGAGGAGGTCGCTTAGGAGGATGGCCAAGGGACCAGGCAGGAGGCCACAGAGGCCTCTTGGCGGGATGGCCAGGGTGCCAGGCAGGGAGCTGAAGAGGTGGTTCCAGTGAGCGACCTTGGGACCGGGCAGGAGGCAGAGAAGGCCACTCTGGTGGGTGACCTCGAGATCCAACAAGGAGCCGAGGAGGCTGTTCTGGGGGATGGCTTCAGGGCTGAAGACCGGCCGACTGGAAGGATTAGGACAGGACCGAGACTTTGGTTGCTGTGGGTCTGCACCGGCGAGGCTGGACTGCTGAGAGGCTGAGAAGCAAAGGCGGAGTGTGGATGTGCATAGTTGGTGGTGACATGACTGGCAGGACCAGCGGTGAACAAAAGGGCAGGACCAGCAGTGAGCTGAGTCGCAGGGCCGATGAGGAGCTGACTAGCAGGGCCAATAAGGTGCTGACTGGCAGGGATGATGAGGTGCTAACTGGCAGGACCGATGGGCTGTTGTCGTCATTGTCATTGTCCCCCTCAGGAAGTGGGACCAACACAGAGTTGATGTCGCCATTGACCCGCTCAGGAAGTGGAGGTAGGATGGCATCGTTGACCCACTCAGGAGCAGAGAGTAAGATGGTGTCATTGTCGTCATTGTCCTACTCAGGAAGCGGGACAGACACAGGGTTGATTTTGCCATCGACTCCCTCAGGAACAGGAACGGGACGGCGTTGGTGGTCCAGCTGACCCACTCAGGAACAGGCTAGAAAGTGACATCACCAGTCCAGCTGATCCGTTCGGGTACAGGAACAGAGGTGGCATTGGTGGTCCAGCCAACCCGCTTGGAGACAGGCGTACCAATTGACCTGCTTGGAGACAGAAATGGAGGTGGCATTGGCATTCTGGCCAACCTGCTTGGGAAAAGAGGCATTGGCAAGTGAGTTCTTGTCAGCACACAGTTAGGGCCTTGGTGGGGACACTTCTGTCAGCGCGCTGATGGAAAGGAGCCTCAGTGGGGACACTCTTGTCAGCATTGTCAGCACACCGGAGAACCATCAACTCAGTGGGGATGCCCGCACTGTCTAGCCGGGGAACAGGAACGGACTCAGAGGTGGTGGCGGCAGTCGGGCTGACCCGCTTAGGAATCCCAATGCTAGCCTCATTGTTGGCACATGGGCGGAGAGCTGAACTCACGGTGGAGTTGATCTCATCGGTGCACTGGAGAGGAGCTGCAGCTAGGGCACTGACGGAGACAGCTGAGACGTAGGCTGCAGCTGGGGAACAGGCTAGGGATGAGGCTTCAGCTGTGGATCTGACGGAGGCTGAGGCTGTCGGGCAGGCTGGGGCAGAGACTCTAGGGCTGGCTGGAGTTGACCATTCCTCCTGTGGCACTTCTTCCCAAGCCCCTCAAGGCAGCGAGCTAAGCGGGATCCCAGGAAGGGCGAGTGCTTGGTATCTGAAGCAGGAGGACCCAGGTTGAATTCAGGGTCCAGAGTAAGGGAGATCACCCTCAGCCTGACAGAGGAGTGGGGTCTCTCTGGGCAAGTGGCATGGGAACAGCTCCTATCCAGCTGGTCAGGTTCCCACAGTATGGTCCAGTTGGTTTCCGTGTGAAAAATTGTCTCTGGCTGAGCCTCTCCAGATCAGCTATCATGACATCAGTGAGAGTCAAAGTCATGTTTCTGATGCTTTTAAAGGGAATGGAAGGAATTAATTTGAATTGCCATTACTCACACCCCACCTGCTCATAGTGCATTCCTCCCACTAATAATGTATTCAGTCTCTCTTCCATGTTGCACCTGGTTGCATCCAAAATGTGCCCATGCCAG